ATCATAAATAAAGGAAGAAAATTAATATATTATTTTACAAATGATTTTGTTTCATTAATATTACGATATACATGATACGGTTGCCATTAATATTACCACTACCAAAGTTACCATTTTGCCCTTTTTGGGATTATAAAAGATTTTTTTATTTTTTTTTTTTATTTTTTTTTTAATTTTCTAATATAACCTAAATTAATCTTGATCATTGATCAAGAAAATGAATTGATGAAATTGGTTTACATGGTTTACACAAATGAGGGCGGTTTTCATTTGATCGCTCCTCGACATGTATATATACGTATAGATCTATTTGTGTGTATATAAATATAATAATGTATGTTTATATTATAAAAATTAATTTGTTTTTAATTTTTTTTCCAGCTGTTCTACCAGTCTCTAATGACTTTGAGGGCTCAGACCTCAACAATTAGAGATATAAACGTAGCATTATCAAATAATGAAATGAGGTTAAACATGTTATGAAATATATGTTTCGGCCCATGGTTAAATTTATCTCACCATTATTCAGACTCCTCATTAATTAACTGGATGGTGCAATGTGAGGACCTCTATTTCCCTTCTCAATCTGAAGAAATATATTATCAGGTTGGAGGGTTTCATTTACGGTTTGACAGACATGAGTTCTGTTTGATCACGGGTTTAAGATTTGACCCGGATCTTCACCCGTCACATTATACCATACCGGATATTATTACAAGATTGTTTTCTAACAATGTTTATAATACTAAAATCAAGCATTTTAAAAATAAATTGTCCGACTTAAATAATATATCAGACGATGATGTGGTATTGCGGTGTGTCTGCCTCGTAGTCATGCTCCATTCGTTTTTTCTGGGACGAAAGAAGAATCACAATATCGAAGACTGGATTTTGCATCTGGTTGATAATCTAGATTCCTGGAACCGGTACCCGTTGGGATCATATATATGGCGTCTAACATATCGACAGCTGAAAAATGCTTTCGAGTGGCGTAGACACAAAAATTGGCCGCCAAACAAATATATATTATATGGGTTCATATATGCCTTCAAGGTCGATTATAATTTTTTTAAATATCTTATTTACTAATTAATTTTCATTTTCTCACCATCTTTTTTCGTAACCTACCAGATATGGATCTTGGAGACATTTCCCCGAACCAACATTTTTTTTTCTCGTTATAGTCCTTCCATCTCGAAGGCTATTGGATGGAAACGAAAGAAAATGATGAAATGGAAAGAGTGTTGTGTATTATCCACTATTCACAAGATTTGATATCATTTATTATAAGTTCAAGATGTGCCAATTTTTTTGTTATGTATGTGTAATTTTTTTTATTGATTTATATATTTATAGAAATCATCTCGCCCCCTGACCTCGTTGGTGCCGACAAATTTAGAGGAGTTGGGCCAGTGGTGGATTGAAAGCAGAGAATTCTTGTCAATAATTATTATAGACAGCCGGACCCCGATCAAAGGATGTGTCACGAAAAAAATGATGACGATGACGACGACGTCCAACCATCAGCAGCACGTCAATCATTTGCAGCGCACACTTCTCATAGACCAAAATATGAGCCACAACATCGCCATTCATTTGCAACATATACCGACGTTCAATGGCGTGATGAATGGCGCCAGGTACATATTGAGGTTGATGAAAAGATCGCTTCGGTTAAAAACCTTATATATGAAAAATGTGGGTCACTCGAAGCGAGATTTATAAGCGATATGCGTCGACAAGGACCTATGGCTGATCTTTCACGATACATGCATCCGCATGACGACTATGTAAGAGTGTTTATTTTTGTTGATGTTTTAATTTGCAAGTTAACAATTATATAAACATTGAAACACCTCATTCCACACATTGTATGTAACACATACTTAATTCACAAGAAATACATGTTTATACACCACTCAGGTCCCATAGTACAAGATTCTATCATACATAATATATGGTCCAAAAATTCAAAATATATTTCTTGTACTAATCAACGTTCATCTACCAAAACTATATACATCATAGACAAATCTTCATACAGATATGCATACAGGAAAATATCATATTTTCCCCTTCCTCTTACCGTCAGCACTTCCTACAATATATCTTAAAATCACAAAAAATGAGGGTTAGACCGGAAGGTCTAATGAGATCCCTTTCTATGTCATTGCAGGGTGAAAATCACCAAAACTTTATTTAAAACAACTTTTCATATATATAACAATATATGAACAAGTAAAACATAATATTAATACCTTTCCAATTCCAAAGCCAATCTCTCGGCTTTTAAATAACACATTCGAACACAAATAGGTTTGAACCAACAGGGTTTCTCACAATGCCACTTTTAAACCTTTTTAATTAAAAACAATGTTTATTCAAGGCTTCAGACCAAAACCTGTTTATTCTCGATAACCATTCAAATCTCCGGTCGTCGGGAAACTTCGTTGGAAGCCAGGATCCTGGTGAAGATGAGGAAATCGAAGAGGCAAGAGAGGGAGAAGGTAAGTCAAAAAGTCTTCGTATTTTCCAAGATAATTATTTTCCCAATAACTTGGATCACTTTTCTGCTGGGAATTCCTCTCCCACGTGCAGGGCCCGCCCTTTATCCTTGGTTGATAAGGCTCAGGAACATGATATGGTCCACGCCCCTTTTTCTGTTGAGCCCATTGTGGATTTCTCCCATGAGCCTAATTACTCTAGTTTGGGCCATCACTCGTTTCATAACCTTAGTCACATACATGCTTCTAAAAAGCGAATCTTATCCTCAAGACCCTTCTTTTCGCTGAAGCCTACGTCTGTGTTCTCTCAGGCGCTGTCTAGAAAATCCAAGGTAACAATTCCTCCCTGGGTTCCAGTTGTTCAAGCAGATAAGAGGGCTTCTTACACTATTTCTGCTAATTTGGAGCAACCCCCGATGGATACGCCGGTGTTGCCTTCGATCGGACCGACTGCGAGTGGCTTTAAGAAGGTGTTATGCTGGACACATTAAGGACTAAATTCATCCAGGTAGTAGGCTCGTGTGATCGGACCGACACTGGGAGCGCGAATAGCAGTGACGTTCACAGCAGTGAGTCGTTGGATGGGCTAGCGACAGAGATCCGAGATACCATGGAAATTGGTTGTATGGTTGGTTTCTGTATGAACGGTTGTGAAGCAGAACTCAGAAAGGTAATTTCTTCCACAGGGGATGTGCAAGTTAATCAATGATCATTTTTTCCTTGAATTCTAGTGGGGTTGCTTCGGAGGCTAAGACGAGTTGGATCAGAAACTTGAGGGCTGGCAATAAAGTTAATTTCCTGGCTCTACAGGAATCGCATATCAAGGATGAGGTGGATCTGAGTTTCATCCAATCTATCTGGGATAAAGGCTCTATCGATTTTATTTCGTCGAAATTAAGGGGGATGTCCGGGGGTATCTTATCTATCTAGGATACGGATTTCTTCATTAAGGATGATTTCGTTATTCTCGATGGTTTTGTTGTTGTTTGGGGAAGATGGGTGTCTAATAATACCTTTTGTGGTTTCATTAATATTTATGCACCGCAATCCTCGGTTTCCAAACTCAGGTTATGGTCTGCCATTGAACAATTTCTTAACGATAACTCGGATCTGAAGTGGGTTATCATGGGGGACTTTAATGAAGTTCGTTACGTCAATGAAAGAAAAGGATCCACGTTCTCTTTTTTAGGTGCTAGCAGATTTAATGATTTTATCCGGGACTCAGGGCTTATGGAAGTCCGGAGCGGCGGAACGAAATTTACGAGGATGAGCGCTGATGGGGCGAAACACAGTAAACTGGACAGGTATCTGGTGTCTTCTAATTTCTGCTCTCATTGGCCTTTGCCAAGCGCAATGATTCTGCTCGTTATCTCTCAGACCACTGCCCTATTCTCTTCAGATCTGATCTGGTGAATTTTGAGCCTACCTACTTTAAATTTTTCAACTCGTGGCTTGGGCATCCTGAATTTAATCACCTGGTCCTCGATTTGTGGAATTCCTCTCCCTCACCCATTTACTGCTTGCCTATCAAGTACTTCATGGTTCGAATAAAAATTTGGAAGGCAGGAGTGAACAAAGCTAAGGTAGAACAGGTGAATTCCCTCAAACTGTCGCTGGATTCCCTAGATATCAAGGCGGAAAATACCCTTCTCTCGCCGAAAGAGATTGCTTCGAGAAAGGACATATTGATGAAAAGCAAAGCCTTGGACGAGGAGAACGTGAAGGATCTCAAGCAGAAAGCGCGTCTCAGATGGGTTGTGGACGGGGAGGAAAATTCGAGTTTCTTTCATGGGATCGTCAATTCTAACAGAAGGAGCAACTTCATTCATGGCATTTCCTCTAATGGGGTATGGGTCACGGATCCTACTGAAGTCAAACAAGTGGCCTTCAACTTCTTCTCGGTGAGGTTTCGATCCAGGTCTGTCATTCAGCCCCCTTTTTTATGTAGTAATTTTAAAAAGTTATCTCCGGAACAGGCGAGCTATCTCGAATCTAGCATTTCCATGGAGGAAGTCAGGAAAGCTATATATTTGGGATTGTGGACCTGATAAGGCCCCTGGGCCCGACTGATTCACGTTTGAGTTCCTTCGATCTCAATGGGATGCCATCAAGGATGACTTGTACCGCGCCATCAAATATTTTGAGTCTACTGCCTCTATTGATGACGGTTGTAATGCCTCCTTCATCTCGCTTATTCCCAAATCTGAATCTCCGTGCTCTTTTTCGGAGTACCGGCCCATTAGTCTGATAAACTGTTTTTACAAGATCATTGCTAAGATCTTGGCGTCTCGTTTGAGCTTGGTCATCGACTCGGTCGTAGGGCATGAGCAATCTGCCTTCATCAAGGGAAGAAGTATTTTAGATGGACCCATTATCGTCAGCGAGGTTATATCTTGGGCTAAAAAAGCTAACCGTAAATCTTTGATATTTAAAATTGACTTCAAAAAAGCTTTCGATACTTTGTCTTGGGATTTTCTGGAGGACGTTCTAAGGCAAATGAGTTTTGGTGTTAAATGGAGAGCGTGGATCAAAGGGTGCCTCTGTACGGCATCGGTAGCGGTTCTCATTAACGGGTCCCCAACTCGTGAATTCCCTCTAGGAAGGGGAGTAAGGCAAGGAGATCCCCTGGCCCCACTCCTCTTCATTCTCGCTGCCGAAGCACTTAATATCATCATATCGGAGGCCCCTCGGAAAGGTATTTTCAGAGGTATCAAACTTCCTAACTCCGGACCTGAAATATCGATTTTGCAATTTGCTAATGATGTCTTGATCATGGGTGAATGGACGAGAACGAACGCCACTAATCTGATTCAGCTGCTGCGTTGCTTCCAACTATCTTCGGGGCTGAAGGTAAATATGCAGAAGAGTAATATCATGGGTGTGGGGGCTGATTACGAGGAAGTGGTATCTGTCGCTAGTAGACTTCATTGCAGACCTGGGCTTTTGCCTTTTACGTACCTTGGTTTGCCGATTGGTGGACGCTCCAACAAAGCTGAATCTTGGGCGMCTTTAATTGAAAATTTTAACAAAAAATTATCAGCTTGGAAATCCAAAATTCTCTCTCATGGTGGTCGGCTTGTCTTGGTCAAATCCRTCTTAGGAAGTTTGGGCCTGCACTATCTCTCGCTTCTTAAGGCCCCTACCTCGATCATCAACAAACTGGAATYTATTCGCTCGAGGTTCTTTTGGGGCGATAAAGGAGGAGTGAGAAAGATTTCATGGATCAGTTGGAGTACCACGTTGGCGGATAAAGATGCTGGCGGTTTGGGGATCGGTAGTCTAAGAGCCCTCAATCTGGCGYTTCTCGCTAGGTGGTGGTGGCGATTCAAATTGGAGCATAATCACATATGGAGACGGGTTATCATTGCTCTCCATAGTGAAGATGGCGGCATGAACAACTTGGCCAGAAACGGCAGATTTCCGGGGCTCTGGAGGAACATTTTAAAAATCCACAAGGAATACAATAGCCTCAATCTTCCTTTCGCGGACTGGTTTCAAAGAGATCAAAGCTCTAACGGGATCGATATCTCATGGCGATGGGCTCTGACTTCTCACGGTAACTTCTCAGTCTCCTCGATGAGAGCTGCGTATGATGATATTTCGCTTCACCAGGTTAGTTTCAGAAATTCTTGGTGGGTCAATTGGGTTCCATCTAAAATTAATATTCTATCTTGGCGTCTTCTTCACAAAAGGCTTCCGACTAAAATTAATCTTGCTAAAAGAGGAGTGGTTTGTCTCTCCTCCATGTGCCCTCTGTGCGAATGCGCGGAAGAAGACGAGGAACATCTTTTCATAGGATGCTCGATATCTCAGCAATTGCTAAAGGATTTGTGCAAATGGTGGAAAGTGGACATAGGACAGGTGAATTCGATTGATAATCTTCTTGACCGTTGCTCGGAGGTGGCTGGGAATTTTTCGTGTAAGAAGGCGTTTATTGGAGTGGTGTATGGATTCTTCTGGATTATTTGGAACCTGTGCAACCGCAAAACTTTCTCAGTCCCTTCTCAGATGATGGCTACTTTTCTTGCAGGCCAACTTCAGGCGTATTCTTTTTTCTGGTTTAAAAACAGGGTGCCGAAAGATGTTATGGCGAATACTTGGATAGAGTGGTGTAATTCTCCCATGTCTTGTTTTTAACCTGTACTCTCTTTTGCTAGCGCCTTGCTAGTTTCTATGCTATTTCGTCTTTGTTGCCGGTCAAAAAAAAAACTTCTTCATAACCTTTAGACTAAGATTTCCTATAAAAATCCTAATTCCAAATCTTTAAATCACAAAGAAATAAAGATTTCGAATCACAGTAATCTTAAAGGATATAATAGTAAGAGTTATATCATACATCACACATACAAATGTCACCCTTATATCCAAAGGTACACCTCTCCTTGATATGTTATCCTTATCCCATGGTACACCTCTCCTTGATATGTCACCCTTATCCCATGGTACACATCTCCTTGATATGCCACCCTTATTTTCTCATCAAATCATTTTACAAAATAACTCGAATTAGAACAGACCGCAGTCATAAATGTCCTAATGGAATATCATCAGTTCAAAATTATCTTTATCAAAATTCGCATTCTTTATTATCATAAAAGAACATTATAATAATGATTTAATTGAACTTAACATTTTAGTCAAAGTACAAAATCTTTAACAATATTAGTTAACCTAGACTTGACCAGACTTCATCTCTAGTCAAATCTTAACTGATATACTAATCTGGACAACACTAGTCCTTTTGTCCGATTTACAAATCCGGACAACACATTTACTTGTCCGATTTATCAATCCAGACAAGTGAAAACAAAACCGATCAAGCTTTCAAGTTTACATATATGGAATTATTTTCCATCATTAGAGTCCGATCAAAACACAGTCGGACTATACTATACCGTGCAAGCCTTTGATCGATTTATGGCTAAACCGGATAACCCTTGATCTATTTATGGCTAAATCGGATAGCCCTTGATCGTATTCCAACTTCTATGTTCAAAACCTTTGTCCATTTCACATAATTCAAAATCTCTAATTCGATCGATATAACAATCGATTTTAAAACTAAATCGGACAAAACGTGTCCGACTTAAAATAATTCGGACATCATTTGTCCGATTTAAAGCCATAACCGGGTAAACTTTCATAACTCCAATCAATATGCAATTCAAAATACTTTTAAAGACATTTAACCACTTACCTTTGATTTCCTTTTGAAAATCAACTACTTGAATCCAGTTAAAATGTAATCCGATCACCTCTTTTATTTAAATCTCTTACAAGCTCCCAAAAATGGTAAGAAAATCATATGAAGGCCTTACCCTCATATATATATATCCTTTCTAAAATAAGTAAGGCGGCTCAACAGCCCCTTACATGCATGCATGCCCATACATCCATTCAAACATATGTATGCAAAACACACATAATCATGCATACATAATACTTAAATATACATATCATGCATTTCCTACATATGCATGCATGCATATATATATATATATATATATATTCACATTGTGCATACAATCCGCATACTTGCATGATCAAATATACCAATTTATCATGTTGTCACGTAAGCACATAATAAATAATCACATATTAGTTACCTCAGGTGATAACCAAGACCCGGTTGTCACATTATCCTCCCCTTAAAAGAATTCTGTCTCGAAATTCCTTTAATCAAAAAGCTACAGATATTCTGATCTCATTTTTTATTCTAGTTCCCAGGTTGCCTCTGACCCCTTATGAAACCGCCACTGTACTTTAACCAAACTGATCTCTTTGTTTTTCAACACCTTCATCTTCGGTCAATCACAGCTTCTAGTGTCTCTATAAAGTTCCGTTTGCTATCCAATTTAACTTCTGGAAGCGGTACAGCTAGATTGGAATCAGCTAAACATTTCCGCAAGTTCGATTCATGAAAAGTGTTGTGGATCATACTAAGATCTTCTAGTAGCTCCAACTGATAAGTCACTGGCCTAATTCATTTACAAATTCTGAACGGCCCAACATACCTAAGACTGAGCTTACCTTTCTTTCTGATTTGATAACACCTTTCCATGGAGAAACTTTCAACATCACAAGATCACCACACAAAACTCAATCGGCTTTCGACGATTATCAGCATAACTTTTCTGGCGGTCTTGTGCTGTTCTGATTCTTTCACGGATCTGTTCAATCTTTTCGGAAGTTTCTTGAACAATCTTGGGACCCATCAATTGTCTTTCACCTACCTCATTCCAACATAACGGCATTCGACATATACGTCTATACAATACCTCATACGGTGCCGCTTGGATGCTGAAATGGTAATTGTTATTATAAGCAAACTCTATCAGTGACAAATGATCTTCCCACGATCCCCCGAAGTCAATGATACAACTTCTCAACATGTCTTCGAGAGTCTGGATGCTTCTTTTACTTTGCTCGTCAATTTACGGATGATAGGCTGTACTTAATCAGATTTCAGACCCTAGAGCTTTTTGCAAACTTTCCCAAAACCTTGAGGTAAAGCGACTATCTCTATCAGAGATAATAGATAGTGAAACACCGTTCCTGGTTACAATCTCTTTGATATAAATCTGTGCCAGCATTTCTAAAGAGGATCCTTCTCTTATAGGTAAAAAATGCACAGATTTAGATAAGTGATCAACAATTACCCATATTGCATCATACCTTTTCGGAGTTCGAGGTAAGTTCATGACAAAATCCATTGTAATGTGATCCCACTTCCATACAATAATCTCCAAAGATTGAAGATTTTCATAAGGCTTCTTGTGCTCGATCTTAACCTGTAGACACGTTATACATTATTCCACATACTTAGCTATGTCTTTCATCAATCCAGGCCACCAATAAAAAGGTTTCAGATCTATGTACATCTTATTGGTACCTGGATGTATGGATTAACGAGACTTATGGCTTTCATTCAAAATAGTTTTCCATATATCCCCAAAACATGGTACCCAAATTTGTCCTTGAAAGCACATAATTCCTCTATTGTTCGGTTTTAGAATCGAAATCATCTTACCCAACCTTTCTGACTTGAAATGATTCCCTTTCATAACTTCTTTCTGACATCTCAGGATTTCTTTATGAGTATCAGGAACTAGATTTATTCTCATGGCCATAGTCTTAATAGTTCCACTTTTCTCTTTTCTACTTAAAGCGTCAGCTACCACATTGGCTTTTCCTGGGTGGTAGAGGATTTCACAATCATAATCATTAGCATGTTCAATCCATCGACGTTGCCGCATATTCAGTTCTTTCTAGTTGAATAGGTGTTGTAAACTTTTATGATCCGTATAGGCCTGTCACTTTGTTCCCAGAAGATAATGCCTCCATATTTTCAAAGCAAACACCACTGCTGCCAATTCCATATCATGAGCTGGATACTGCTTCTCATGATTCTTCAGTTGTCTTGACGCATAAGAAATCACTTTTCCTCTTTGCATCAGAACACATCCCAGTCCTAGTTTTGAGCTGTATACTACAAAATCTTCTGATCCATCTGGTAGGGTCAATACCAGGGCACTGCAGAGATGATCTTTCAACAGTTGGAAGGCTTTTTGTTGTTCTTCCTCCCACTAACACTTAATGTTCTTCTGAGTTAGTTTGGTCAATGGCACGGCTATATTAGAAAAGTTTTGAATAAATTTACGATAATAGTCTGCCAATCCTAAAAAGTTTCGGATTTCAGAAGGAGTCTTTGGGGCCTCGCACTTTCAACTGCTTCTATCTTTGTTGGATCTAACTTCACCCCTGCTTCTGATATGACATGACCCAAAAACTGAACTTCCCTTAGCCAAAATTCACACTTAGACAACTTCGCATACAACTTTTCTCTTCTCAGAAGTTCCAGTATCAGACGAAGATGTTCTACGTGCACCTTTTCAGTCTTAGAGTATATAAGAATATCGTCGATAAATACAATAACGAATTTATCAAGATACTCCTTACATATCCTATTCATTAAATCCATAAAGGCTACGGGCACATTACTTAGACCGAACGGCATAACTAAGAAATCATGATGTCCGTACCTAGTTTGAAAAGTTGTTGTAGCGATGTCTTCTTCCCTGACCTTAAGCTGATGATACCCTGATCTTAAGTCGATCTTTGAGAAATAACTCGCTCCCACCAGTTGATCAAACAAGTCATCAATCCTTGGCAAAGGATACTCATTCTTGATTGTCAACTTGTTCAATTCTCGATAATCTATATACATTCGCATAGATCCGTCTTTCTTCTTAACAAATGGGACTGGAGCACCCCAGGGTGAAGTGATGGGTCGAATAAATCCTTTATCATGCGGGTCCTTCAACTAAGTAACTAGTTCTTTTAATTCTGATGGAGCCAACCGGTACGGCGCCTTGGCTACTGGTGCTGCCCCAGGTAAGAGATCATTTCTAAATTTAACAACTCTGTCTGGCGGTAAACCAGACAAATCCTCGAGAAAAACTTCTGGGTATTCATTAACAATTGGAATCAATTCTTACTTTCCTTTTTCTTTCTTTTCATCAATAACATATGCCAAACATCCCTGACACTTCTTTCGAATACATTTTCGGGCTTTCAACATAGACAAAAGGCTAGTGTGATTATTCTGACGATCACCATAGATAACAACTGACCCTCTGTCTGACAAAATGATTCTGATCATCTTTTTAGTACAAACAATATTGGCTTGATGTTCTGCCAACCAATCCATACCTATTACTACATCAAACTCTTTCATCGGCATTGGGAACAATAGAATTGGTACTTCATACCCCTCAATAACAATAACGTAGTTATTGAATACACTAGTAACAGCTTCCTGACTATTAGCAGTATCAACTACTAATTCGTCATCAAGTAACACAGAATTCAAACATGCAATTTGAGCAAATGATGGTGATATAAACGAAAAGTTTGCACCAGAATCAAATAAAACCTTAGCACGTATAGAATTCAGAAGGAAGGTATCTGTTACTACATCTGTTGCAGCTTCTGTCTCGTTCTTTGTCATTTGGAAGGATTGACCCCGTGCCCCTCCTTGCCCTCCTCTAGATATTATAGGTCTTCCCCGAGTACCTGATACATTACTCCCCATAGTCAACTGCGAAGTTCTCAACAACGAACAGTTGGGTCGAATA